CTTCATGCACAATAGATTACATAGAGTAGCTATTTATGATTATTTTTTTTGGTCATATATATATATGAATTAATATTTCACTTGCATGTTATATGGAATTATTAGATGAAAGCACCACTACCTATTCATGTATTTATTATTATTATTATTATCATTGTTTTGATGATTATCTTTTTTCTTCTTCTTTTCTGTAGGTTTGATTGTTTTCAATTATTATTATTATTTTTGCATCCATTGATAAAGTGTTCCCTAGCTCCCGCTCATCAAAACCCTTTCTAAACTGTAGAGCAGTTTCTCCAAATCTAAATAAGAAGAAAAGTATTATGCAAATTAAATCAAAGGCAAAAACAATCGGCGAAGAATGCAATTGGAAAAAGTGAAAATTCAAAACCAAAAGCACATCAATTGTATTAAAAAGCGAGGACTTTGGCTGGGCTTGTAGACCTTCCATTGCTTTCCAGAAAAAGAAAAAACATGTGTTGTCTTGTGTCCGCGTTGTGCCATTATGGCCTTTTCTCCGGCGATATATTGCTGTTAACCGCCCTTATGTCTACTCGTACTATGTTATCGAGTTACCCCATGTGCTTTAATTTTTTTATATAATCTATTTTTCCCTCTTCTTTTGTTTTCCTCTTTTTGTAACCGGGAAGATATTTTTCTTTTTCTCCTTTTTTCTTCTTTTTTTATATAAACTGCCATTTTTCAAATTCCAATGAAGCTAGCAACAGTTTAATATAAGATATAAAATCGAAAAATTATTCATCACCAAAAAATCATATAACTATTTCAGTTTGTTAAATTGTCTATCATTACATGGCAATAAGCTATTCACTTCTATCTGATAAATAAGAGATCAAATTAAAATATATAATTTGGAATTCATTAGAATATAAATAAAAGCTGGGAGGGCTGCCAGTGTTTACTTTTATTTAAAACCCCATTTAAGTCCCAATACTAACATACTAATTTGAATAATGGGAGAATCTGAAGCTTTTTTTTTCTTTTCCTTTTGGATGGTAATTCCTAAGAATGATCCATTTAAATAGAAAACCATGTTTTGATTTTCTTTTTTCTACAGTCACTGAGTATTCTTTAAGCATGTGTTCTTTTACACTTTGTTTTGAGATCTGACTACATTTCTCTTCAATGTTCTGGAAAAAAAGTAATTAATTTTTTCTTATTATCTTCACGTGACGAATTTCTACATATAGTATTGAGTTCAAATTATAAATAAAATCAAGAGAAAGCTCACCTATGTCATCATATCTGATGTTCCTATGCTCGTGTTCTCTGGTATAATAACCGTAGCGTAGAGCTTTGCTGTAAGCTTCTCTAGACGTTGCTTTCTAAACGCATGAGAGCTTTTTTTTGTCAGCATGTCGCAGTTCCTTCCGATTAACATTTCTTCCGTTAGCCCTTTTTAACGAAGGAGAATGATTTTGGTTAAGATCCTTCTGTCGGATGGCTAATCTCTCTCGTGTTGATGGGAGGAAATCACATTATACACATAAAGTGATAAAGCGAAGTGTTTATTGGAAAAAAGCGAAGCATTCCAGTAAACTTGTCTTGTGTATATTGTTTATTTCTTCCATCATTCTCTTGTATGATATGCTCGCCAAGGCCAACACTTCCTGCGAGACGGTTGATGTATATTTTCTCTCCTTCTCTCCTTTCCTCTCCCTCTTTATCCTTGGTTTCCATTTCTCCATCTCTGCCCCTTTCTCTTGCCTCCATTACACGTCTCATTTGAAATACTTTGAAAGCCTGTTTTTCTGTCCCCTGAACTGAGACCGTACATCTGTCTCGCTGAAAGAAAATGAAATACGGCAAAGTTAGAATCCGACAATTGGCATCAGACAATCCGCATAAATTTTCTACTGTCTACAATGTCTTCTGAGGGCCAATACATACCCACATATCCAGAAATACTGTACATGTGCATATCCGCATGGATTTTTCTTTTCCACATGCTACGCTCAGACATGCGAGAATTCCTCATGGCAGAAGGGCAAGCTTCGCCTCGTAGACATGAGAAAACACGGATCCATGAGCCCGTAATGTTGGCATGACCCTCTCCCGGGATGCTAACAGGACGATTAGTCTCCGGACGCCACCAACCAAACAACCAAACAACCAATCTACCAACCAAACCATACCACATGGCGGCTGCAGTGTTACCAACCACCCTCCTTTTTTACCTTTTTTTTTTTTTTTTTTTTCTTTTTTACCCATTTTTTGTTTTTGTTTATTGTTACTTTTTTCTACTTGCTGTTGCCCTTCTCTAACCGCTAACGAAGGTCCAAGCCAGAAGTCCCACCACAACTCTAGATGTCCTCTCTTTCCAGGAATTCAATGAGTTCAGGCAAAAATGCGGATTGCTCTGGAGCTATGACTGGGTGTCAATCCCTCTAGTGTACACTCAGGTAGGGCTAAAAAAAAAAAAAAAAAAAAAAAAAAAACGAAACGAAAAGAAAGCAACCACCATACCACAACTTCCAATGTCTGGCCCCCTTTGTAGCACAACCCGCCCCCTACCGATTTTTTTTCTTCCGATTTTATTACAGGAGTTTTCCGAATATCGAGCCAAATGTGGAATGCTCTGGTGTTACGATTGGGTGAGCATCCCGCTGGTGTACACGCAGGTACTGTAGGTCCACAAGCTGATTAATAGCTGCCAGCGCCCTCATCCTCCCTCAAAAAACATCTTTATCTCGCTGTTTTCTATTTTCTGTCTCTCTCTTTCTCTCTTTTCTCCATCTGTCTCTGTTCGTCTCTCTTTCTCTCTTTCTCTCTTCTTTCACCACTGCCTTCCCTCCCCCCGAGCCGCCCCCTGTAGCTCCTTCCGTCGTAACCTCCTGAACGTCATCACTCATTGTGCTGTTGAGTCTGTGGTAGAGTTTGTCGTGGGCTTACTGTCTGTAAACACACTCTGTTTATATATGACTATGTTCGACCGTGTTGTAACTCGCTAAGGTTCTCTTCTGTCTCTTTGAAAGTCTTCCTCCACTAAACTTACTAAGGAAGTGTATTATTTATTTCAGGTAGATTTCGGTGCTGTGTACTCTACTCTATGATTCAATGTCAACGAAAAATTTCATGTATATACTTTATTGTTATTTTCTGTCTTTTTTTCATTATACTTATTGGAATCGTAGGGAGTTTCTGTATTAGAAATCGCCAAAGATGAGTTTAGATTGGGGTGGTTTTAATGTGACAGGTTTGCAACAGCCGTAGATATCTGCAACAGATCTGCAGCCATTCACATGAGTCGCAATTTATAAAAATATGATAGTCTTTCAGAGAGCCTGTCATCGTAAATGATGGCATCAGTTAGCAAATATTGTAGAGATCATCAACCAAACCTGTCGACGCAGAATATCTTATAAATCCATTAGCTGTACGTAGTGTTGTTTACGAAGAGGGCGGGGACTCTCTCTCTAAGTGAAGAGTTTATAATGGCTGCTGCTGGTCCACTATATGTCCATTTTGGGAGTCAAGTGTTATCTCTGTGGCGCCATTGGTGTTGCATTTGCTTGAATGTCCCCGTTGATTGTCAATGTTCATTTAACGAGTTCGCTTGTAACCAGTTACAATAACCTTTCTGGATTTCTTTAGGCGCGGTTGCACTGCCCATATATTCGCTGAATCTATTTGTTTTTCGATGAATTTGTCCATCCCTTCGTATACACAACAGCATCTGTGATCATTTACATATTGATTGTCAACGAATAAAATCAATGTAGAAAAGGTATGAATGAGACTGGATACCTTCACAATACAAAGATATCCAGTCTCATTCTTACTTTTTCTACATTTTGTCAACATGAACAAAATCAACTAAAACACAGATCCTCAACTAGCTCCTGAATGTAAACA